GCTGCTGGATCGGTGTGGTCTGGCTGCACCACTCTGGGCTCTGTGTCCCGACCCCGGGAGGGCGCCACAGCTGCCACCCCGTGGGCCCCAAGCTCCAAGCCACTGACACTGGTTCCGCACGAGCTGAAGGGGGCGGGCCACAGGTCGGAGGGCGAGGAAGCACTGAGCATGGTGTGAGCAGACCCGCGGTCAGGAGCCCCCTGGAGCACCCCATGGCACCCATGGCCAGGGGTCTGCGGCCCTAGCGTGCAGGCCAGCTGAACCTGGATTCCTGAGGACGGGGCCGGGGAGTGTGATACCTTTCTTAATGGGCTAAAGAAGAACTGCTGAAGGCCTGAAAAATCCATTTGCTGTTTGAATCCTGCCAGCGACTGGGTGCACTTGGCCTCTTAAGCTGGCTTCTTTAATACCACGGGGTTTTCACCCTTGGTGAGTTCTCTTTTTTGACTTTAAAAGGTTAAGCCCAAATCTACCTCCTTGTGAGTTCAGCCCACCTGATCTAATTTTGCCTCCAGGGGCTCCCAATGCCCCAGCCCCAGCTGGAGGCACTTCTACACCCCCTTCTACACAGTAACCACTTGGACATCTGAAGCCAGCTGCCCCATCTTAACTCAGATCAAAACTCAGCAATTCCTAACACTCAAGCTCAATGCTCGATTTGTGTAACTTCTACAAGGTGACCCGTCCCACTGTGCGCGTAAGGCTGCGTTCATTCCACGCACCCAAGGCCGTGCCCGGTTCACACAGACGGCGGCTAAGCCAGGTTTCCTCAGTTTGGTGCCCGTGCAGTTGGATGTTTTGAACCGCGGGGGGCCCTGTCGTTTTCACCCATCACCTTTCATCTCCCGGATAAGGCAGGACGCTCTGACTATAGAGACGTGCGGTATCGATTCTGCCATTCAGCACATCCGCTCTCCCTGATGACTCCGTGTCATCTGCACATTTGATAAGCATGCCTCTGATGTCTTTATCAAGCTACGGGTTCTACCACTTGGCAAGCCGGGGGGGCAGCAGCCCACCAGGGCCCTTCCTGGGAGGGCACAGAACCGTTCCCTCTCCCACAGGCTGGGGCACCTGGTGCTCCGTCAGCTGCAAGTCCTCCTGCCTCCCCGAGATTTTCCAGACCTTGGTACTGGCAGAAGCTGAAACTTCTTGTCCTGGCAGAATCACATATGAGGGCTAGGGTGGGGGCTGCCCAGGCTGAAGGGGGAAGGAAGGTGCTTGCTCTGTCTGCACCCATCCCGAGGCAGCAGCAGAGAAGGGTCAGAAGGGCCGGGACCCAGGGACACCAGTGTTTGCTCACACATGCCGGGCCGACCCGAAAAACTGAGGCCGGCCCGGGAAACGGGTGGGAACGTAGGATCAGGCCCGCGGCCCATGTTCAGGCCCACCCTGCTGGTCAAGGTTTGTGAAGCAGATGGCAGAGGACTGGGCAGCGCTGGGGCCCAGGGAGAAACAGAGGCTCCGGGCCCCTGGGGTAGAAGTGGCACGCCCTTCCTCACGTGGGTAAAACTGTCAAGAAACGCGTGGAGAGATGTGCGTGTGAGAGAAAGATTTGCTGGACGAGGAGCTCTGCCAACACACCTTATCCTGGATCTTGCCATGAACTTCAAACACTCTGCCCATTTGCCGGATACAGCCGAGGGGCCTGCCCATCCTGAAAGGACACCACCATGTCTGGCCCTGCGGCTGGCATCCTCTGCAACAACAGGGAGGAAACGGGCAGGAAGCACGCATTCCGGGGGGCAGCACCTGCCTCTGGAAGAAGGAAGTCCTGCCAGGACCTCGAGGTCCTCAGGTGGCGACCCACCATCTTGCCAACTGCCCCTTTGGACTGAAATCAACGGGGGGTGACTGCTCTCCAAAAAACGATGGGAAATTGACACACGAGTTAACAACAAAAGAAATGAACGCAGAGAGCACGCTTTTGGCTCTTGTGATATAAACTCAAGGTCACGGAGGCAACAAGGTCTGCTACTGGCCCTCCCTGGCTTCCTTCCCGCCCTCAGGGAAAGGAGAACTTGGGAAAATGGCCCACCACCCTTGCATCCAGCAGCCTGCTCGTCCTCCAGCCTCCTCCACACTTGGTCGGTAGAGGGCGCTGCCTCACCGCGCTCTCACCACAGCCCTGGCTTTGCAACTCGATCCCTGCGTCCACACAAAGAGCACAGCTGAGGCATTGCTTGTGCTTTCACATGAGAAAGCAGCAGCGAAACACAGCCTTGCTTTTTTGTGATATCATAGCACCTATGTAAAAAGTACACAGGAAAACGACTTGAAAGAAATATACCCAAAGGGAATGAACCTTTGCTTACTGGAGATGGAATTTGTCTTTTTTTCCTTTCATTATTTTCTATGCTGTTTTCTACCAGCTTGTCTTCCTCTGAGTCAGAAAAGCCTGAGGAGTCTTCGGGGGCTCACGAGTCATCTGCGGGTGGGGCTGGGGAGGCTGCAGCATGGGGTCCTAGGCTGTTGGGGAGACATTTCTTGCATAACTAAACGCGTCTGAGCCTGGGCAGAGCTCAGGGAGGTAACGGGCACTAGAAACAGTCCCCGCCTTCCAGGAGTTTACAACATGATCACAAAGTGAAGGGGTAACGGCTGAGAAGGCTCCAAGGGCAGAGCCTGGCACAGGCATTCAGGGAAGGCTGCCTGCAAGAGGCAATATTTGAACTGACATCCGAGGCAGGGAATGGGAGACATATTGGATGCACAAGTGTCCACAAAGACACAGAAGCACAAAATAGGAAAGGAAAAACAGGCTGCTGGTTCTAAGTTGGAGGCTTTGGGACAAGAGAGAGAAGACCCATTCCTGGGAACCAGGCACAGAGGCCTCCATCCTACAGGCCCCCTGCAGGCCCCCAGCGGGAACACAAGCATCCCCCACAGCCCTCCACCAGAGAGAAAGCTGCCAGGTTCCTCTGCTGGACACATCACGGGATCTGAAGCTGCACGGAAGAACACACTCATCACTTCACAAATCTTCAGTGGGTAATCTGAATTATCAGCATTTCATTTTTTTTTTTAAATCAAACACATGCAATAGGAAAACAATACAAAAACTGAAGAACATAAAAAAAAACCCTGTTGAATTAGGAGGCTCATAGGTGTGTGGGCCACCTGTAAATGACTGCACAATGAGAGGAGGGCTTAGGGACAGACAAGGGAAGTGTTAACGTAACATTCAATTATCCTACTGCACCCTGGCTGACTTAACTCAGTCAAATTAGAATACATTTTATATTGACTATTTTGACATTTGCTTTATTTGGCAAGTAAAAACGAAACTGATCCAATTTTCTTGCAGCCATTGTTAAACCATAAACTGAACAACAAGAGGTTATAAAATACACAAGCCTTATAAGGCTCCTCCTGATGTGCTACCTCCAGTTCTGCAGGACTCTCGGTGGCCTGTGTTCCTGCGTCCCTGGCTTCAGTTCCCAGTGACTGTACTCCTGTGCTGGCTGGCTAGCTTCTGGGCAGGGGGAAGGGTGCTCCTCCTGCCTTAACTGGAGCTCTTTATCTCACAAAAAGTTAAACCTGCCCAGAGGTGGCGCCTATTTCTAGGCCCTTCCAGACCATATGACGTCAACAGGTGTAACCTCTCCGAGGCGATGGGTCTGAGCCGACCCCGAGCACAAGTGATGTGTCCGAGCCGACCCCGGGCACAGATGATGGGCCCGAGTTGACCCAGGGCACAGGTGATGGGCCTGAGCCGACCCTGGGCACAGGTGACAGTGATCACAGCTGTGACGGTGCTTGGCGCAGTGAGAGAGGAACTCCAAAGGGCTGACCTGAGCTGCGTGAGCCTCGTACTCCTAAACCAAAGACCCAACTCTGGGAAGCTCTGGGAAGCTGTTCACCTCTCTTAACGCCAAAGTGAAGCTAAAAAGTACTTCTCAAGTTTCAGGCGATGCCAGGGGTTGTTAGGATTAACCACCACTCTCAGTTTGTGAACCTGTCTCAAGCGAGAAACACCTGACTGTCGCCTGGAAAAGTCCCGAGGGACAGGCCTCCAAGCTGCCAGCTCCTGAAAGCTCGTTCCCCCGAAGGCAGGGAAAGCTCAGCGGAGAACAGGGCGCGGGTGACCAGCCATGCCACCTTCTCTTCTGACTTGCGGGGCGCAGGGTGTGGGCCTTGGGGCGTGCGGAGGGGCAAGTGCCTGGTAACAGCTCTGTCCTGTTCCTGCCCGACTCTGTCACCTGTTTGCCCATGTGGAAGCCCTGAGGTCCCGTCTCGTTAATGTTCCATCCACCTCCAATGGCACTGCCTCGCCACTTCTCACTCGCTTACTTTTGTGACCCCTTTCTCAAGTTCAGTCTGTCGCTGCTGTTTGCTCCTTGTCCTCAAATAATTTACCGCTAACGAGGCAGAGGTTTTTGATCAGATAGAAAGTGTTGAGACTACTACTCAGGTAATCTGTTATTACCAGATTTCTGCTCCGACGGAAATCAGGTTAAATCAGGTGCAGAGACCAGTCCGCTCAGCCAAGTTTCTTTGTGGAAACAACTATTAAAATGAACAGCCCCTGAAAAACTTCTCGCTATTCTCTCATACTCAAACTACCTATTTCTTAGCCTGCAGCTCTTTGGGAAAAGAAACAATATGGAAATGAACAAAATTACTTACCAACTCTCCCAGAGTTAAATGAGTTGCTGGCCAAGGCAGAGAAGGAACTCCACCTTTCACGGGTAGCCTTCCCAACTGCGTGGCTACAGATCACGTGACTGTGTGCAGCCATGAGCTCTTAGAATAATAAGCTCCATTTTAAGTTGCATATTCTGCTATTTTAGAAGGCTGCAGAATATGCACAACAGAACACAGAATGGCTTTTACATTCATGTAATGTGAAGATTTCTAACGGGTTTTGCAAAATCCCCTCTAAAGGTATATTACTCCCGCAGTGTTTCCGCAGATCCTAAGTGGAGGTCTTTCAGAAGTTACGCAGCGGGACCCAAGACCACAGGACTCTGGACATGCACAACAGGACAGTGCCTCACCTGGGAAGGCTGGGGGCTGGGGTGGAAGCAGCGGATGACGGGGAAGGCGTTGTGGGCTGAGACGCATCATGACTTCGTGGTACTCGGCCCATTCGGTACCAGATTCCCATGCTGTTCAGTTCCCTTTAAGAGAAAAGAAAATTCTTCATGGAGGCCGTTTAGCATAAAATGACCTGAGCAACAAAGCAGACTGCCTCATTTCAGAGGGTCATGGCCTCAGACCTCAGGGAGTCGATTCTGGCCCATGAAGGTGTCACGGTTCAGAGCCTGAGGTGACGGCAACTGTCCGAACCCGGTAGGCCTGTTGGGTGGTGGTCATCTTCCTCCATCCTGGGGCCTGCCGTCCTACATATATGCTGTCAACGTGTTCTCGGTTCTGGGTCTGCAAACTTCTTTTTACTCTTGTCATTTCATTGAGGGTATTTGTGCCATAATCCATTTCAAGAGGGCATACCGCCTGTGCCTGATGTTGAACTGTCCGAAGAACAGGCCCCATGCAGCTCCAGGCCCTGCCCCTCCTCCAGGATAAGGCCCCTCACTGCCCGTCATTCTCAGGGTCTGTCTGGGAGACATCTTTGCACCACAAAGTGACAGGCATGTGCCCCATGAACCACCACAACTGAGGGTGGTGATGGAGGGGTTGACAGCTGCCACATCCGGCTTCCTGTTACTTGACCGGCACACCCGCCCAGCCCCGCCTCATACCCCGCAGTCAAGGGCCCATGAGACAGGTTTACTCTTTGGAATTGTAATCGGATTATCTCAGCCACATCCAACTTCTGACTTCTCAGCTGCCCCATAGATCTGCATCTTGGGATGCAGAGGAAGGTCACCTCTCCAAAAAATGAGGACAGATTTGCTCAGTTGATTCTTCTGGCAGCTTTTCCATATCAGTACACTGCAGGAACTAATCTCAACCAGTTGTGTCTTATTAGGTGGTTGATTCTTATCAGCTGCACTGACTTTGCCACCTCTTGGTCACGGCAACAGTCAGGCCTTGGAGGAGCTGCTCCTGGTCTGAAGATTCTGTCCCTCACAGCCGACAACCCCAAACCTTTGCAAAGTAACCTGTAGGGCTATGCCCATTTTTAAGAAAAAGTGACTTAAGAGTTCTGAACACTGAAATCTCTTTCCTTAAAAATAACACTGGAATTATATTTCTCTGGAAAAGAATTTTTGCCCCAAGATGAAACAAAAATATACTTTATTTAGCAATCTTCTCAAAATGATATAAGAAAAGGATTCTAGTTTTGATTACCAAGACATAAATGGTAAGAATCTATTCTTTAGAATTGCTTAAATTGGTTAAAAATTGAATCTTTGAAAGGAGTATAGGGTGTAATTTTAAAAACCTGAATACACATAGTAACTGAATATACATAATAGATGTAGCAATTATTAAATTGTTGGTTTCTACTATTTGTATGTAAGTGGCTGTTTCTAAGATACCTGAAGTATGGTTATTTTCTTAACTGTTTTCTACTCTAGTAATCTTGTTTACATAATGAGTTTAAACCGTGTTGCACAATGGGAGTTTTGAGTGTGTAGAAAGGGTGTGATCACAGAGTCCTTCTTAGGGACCTCAAAATCTCAGAGAAGAGCATTCAGATTCTATAGCTGAAGAGTCAAACAAGCTGTTGTGCACCAAGATGAAAATAAACTCTCTTTCTGTGACACTTGCTCCCCAAGTGCTTCAAGCAAACACTACAGCTGGCTATATCTATCTATCCATCTTTGTATCTATCTATCTTGCAGCCTTCAAGGAAAGGCCATGGCCTTTCAAGTAAAGAGGAGGGTTTAGGCTCAAATGAGCAAGATCCAGGAAGTTGACCTCCAAAGTCAAGTAGGAGAATGCATCCCTGGGGACCCACAGGGACAGGCAAGAAGCTTGCAAAGCCAGCCAGGGAGATGGCACGTGGCCAAGAGGCCAAAAACCATCTACCACACTGTTAATCTGAGAGACCTGAATTTCAGTGGCCTGATGGGTGAACATCTGTTATCTTTTGGATAGCCAGCACCCCTTCATCCCCCTTCTGACTCTCTACCTCACCTCTGCACTTGGGGAGCAGACACCCCTCATTCCTAGTCACCCCCATTTCTTCACCAGCTGAAATGGTCTCACCCATAGGTTTCTTGTCTGTTGCTCGTCTCTCCCTTTCTGAACACCAGCTCCACGGGAGCAGGCTCTTTGCCTCACTCACCACCATATCCAGGGGCTTTGGCCCTGTGCACCAAATGGGATGCTCCCTAAACTGTGATGGGGCGACTAAACCGCGGGGAGAGTCGAGGCCCAGTGGTCAGAAAGGAGGCAGCCCCTTGGTTCAAGGCATCTGGAAAGACCCCTGAGAGCCTGAGGATGAACACACAGGAGGAGGGGGGAAGGAGAGCCCCCTAGATGGAGCAGGCAGCGTGAACACAGGAGGAGAGGTCAGGAGGGTGGTGTCCTGGACTGGCTGTTATCTGGGCAGGAAGGGCAGCGAAAAGCTCTGACTGGAGGCCCACGAGAGGTAGGTGGCCGAGAGGCTGCGGGTCACACAGGTCTCCAGACCTGGCCCCTGGGAGGGACCTGAGCGCGCTCGGCAGACAGCAGTGACGAGCCTGGCCTTGCTGAGACTTACCCAATGAACGTGTACTGAGGTGGGGCCTGCTTGGTCCGGCCCATGATCCGAATGTCACAAATGGCCGCTTCGGTTGAATCCCGCGGGATAAATTTAATGCACAGCCTCTTCTTCCTAAAAGCCACTTCCTCTGAAGGAAAGGACCACAAGAAAAGGCATGAGTCTTCCAGAGGTGCCCACATCTCTATTCTCAACACCACGCCTCCCGTCACGTTCCCTTCCCAGCGGTGGAAGTAACTGGTCGTCCAAGATGCCTGACAGAAAGGCTGGGGCGCCACCATTCCGGGCCAGGGCAGGGTCGAAGTGGATAGTCTTGGTCACCATGCTCTGTGTTCGGGGCCTGATCCCTGACACCCACTGCCGGGAAGGGGCCTACAGAGCACACACACATCCCTGCCAGAAGGAGCCAGGGATAAATCCATGACTGCAACCTGCTCGCTGCTCCAGCCCTCGGACACAAGCACACGGATGCCCCCAGCGTTAACACATTTCACTACATGGACCTTCTCCACTTTTTATTACAGAGATCTTCAAACATTCCCCCCAATAAAGAAAAGAAGAAATAAGCTGAATCCACGTGTTCCCATGAACCCAATTCAATACTGTCAACAATGGAGGAACCCTCTCGTCTCCTCCCCCGCCCTCTTCAGCTCTGCAGAGATTTAAAATGACTCCCCAGCACGATGTCATTTCACCCACCAATATCTCAGAAGGTATCCAGGGCAGGCTAATTTTTTTCCTTTTTTTTTTTTTACCATAACCACTATGATGTTGTTATTCTTAACAAACAATGATTCCTTAATATCATCAACTAGTCTGCATTCAGGTTTTCTCCAATACTGCAAAAATGTCATTTAGCTGTTGGTTTGTCTGGACCAAGATCCAGACACTGTCTGTGCATGGCGTTCGGTGGTTATGTCTCTGTTGTTCTGTGGTAACCTCTCCACCTTCCCTTCATCTTCAGGGCACTCACAGGCTGGAGCACTCAGGTCACCCACTGTACCTCCTGTAACACGGCTGAGTGAAAGGCTCAATTCTACCCGGATTAGACAGCAGAGGCAGGAGCACTCCACGGGTGGTGCACGTACATCTGATGGGTGACGGGATGGACGAAACGTGATGACACTCTCGGTGGCTTCTGCTGCCCTCAGCCCAGTGGCCTGGTTATAAAGTCCCTGACACCCCGCTCGAGGGTGGTCTTCTCATCCCCTGACAACTGTGCCTAGACCCATAACTTCATTAAAGGTGTCAAATGGCGATTTTCTAACTCTGTCATTCCTTCTGCATTTATTAGTTGGAATTTTTCTACATAAAAATATCTTTCATTCTTCAACTACTTGGTCTCCCTGAAACAGGCTCTAGTATAGGAAAGGACAGACATATCTGTGATTCTTTTCTCTAATTTATCAAGTCTTAGGGCAATGAGTTGTGGCCTAACAACCACCAGGGGTGACCGCCCACATGGTTTTGGTTTGTTCATGTTTGGTTTTTAAACCACACATGATGAGTTTCAATCCACTGCAGCCATTCAGTACATGGGTCAGACAGATCTGGGTTAAAATTCCAACTCCATCATTTTCCAGCACCCTCATCTCCGGCAAGGGACTTAACTTCTCTGAGCCTTGGTTTCATCATCTAAAAGGGAGTTAATGAAGCCTGACACTGTAGGGACACAGGGTGAATGAAATGTGATGACACGTATGCTTCACTTAGTCCAGTGCCCGGCATGCAGTAAGTGCTCAGTAAAGAATAGTCGTGGTCATTCTTATCATAATACTGTGAGGAAGCCTCGAGCACGCGATCTGTGTCAGTGCTTGGCACTGATTTTCAAGGCCTTTCAGTTCTGTTGCACAAAATAAGCTTATTTACATCGGAGAGCAAGACACAAGAGGGAAGCGCTGTGTTGCTGCTAGTCTTGATTTTACCAAGGGAAGATGAGACTCAGGTGCTGATGTTTTGGGATTACCAGAAGAAAACTCAGAAACTTTGTGAGTTCTTTTCCTAGGAGAGGAAACCGAGCGCTTGATCAGACGTACGAGCTCTGAGTAATAAAACTGGATACTGAATCTAGACCCTGAACACGGGATCCAACAAGCCAGGAAGGGTTACTGCGGAGAGACTGTCCACAGCAACCCTGCAGCTTTAAAAACTATTAGCCAATAACTCAGGCCTTTGAAAGTGTGAAGGAGGTGAGACCCTTCCTCAAAGTAAACCAAGATGCAGGTATTTTATGTACTTGCTTTGCCAGATGCTCTTTGCCCCATTCTTCCATTTACAGCAAACTCGAGGTAAGAGATGGAGTTGCTAATTACACATGCTTAAACAGGCCTGACTTTAAGTAAACATATTATACAGAGTCAATAGAAATGTGTTCAGTCATGCTAATGAACACAGAGAAAGGACACAGCACTTTACTAAAACAAACAGTCTTCCAGTTTTTAAGTGCCTTATGGATTGCAACAAAACGTATTTTAAATTAATTACAGGAGTCTCATCTTGCTGGCTGATTTTAAAAAAAGTCAGGATCTTAAATGCTCTCAAATGTCCCAGAGCTGACCACAGATTGGATGACCCTAAATGAATAGGTGACTCTACAGTCACCCTTCCTTGTGGGACACGACACCTGTTGGAGATGCCGGAACCCAACCTCAGACTGTCCATGTGGGTAGTGACCAACACACCCCCAGTCACTGGGGTGACTTCCCAGGATCACGTGGCTGTACAGTAGCTAGACCAGGACTCAGTCGGGCCTCCTCGCTCAACGGATTCAACAAATTGAGAGGAAAATGCAGAACGAGAAATCCCTTGACTCTATAGTAAATCAATATAGAGACATTTTAAGGCACTTAGTTGTCAAAAACAAACAACAATGCAAATTTTAAAACTAAGAAAAACATAGGGAGAAGTAGGAAATTAATGCAAGTCTACAAGTCAATTTTAGTTTTTAAGCAGACCATTCATATAAGCAAAAAGAGCAAGCAAAAACTTGTGAAGATGTTCAGTATTGCTAATAAATAATAAGTAAAAATTAAATAAAATGAGAACAGTAAAGCTAAATTAAAAATATAAAGCAGGCCTGTGGAAAACAGGTACAAGCCGGTATCATCAGGGGCAACGTGAACTGGTGTTTCTGGAAGTTAATTTGACAGCAGAGTGTAATAAAGCCTATCTTTACTGAGCTCATCCTCTGAGCTGGGTATGGCAGGTACCTTATGTGATTCAAAGATGAATTAAACATAGATCTCAAAACAACAACAACAACAACAAAAAACCCACAGATCTTGCCCTTCAAGAAAGAGATAAGTAGCAAAGACATAAAGAAAACATGTAAATGGCTATAATGTAAGCTAAGAACAACATTATGAGGTGGACAGTGCTGCCCCATTTTACAGATGAGGAAACTGAGGCCCAGGAAGGTGAAGTCATTTGCCCAGGGTCCCTCATTTGTAAGTGGCAGAGCCAGACTCCACATTAGGTGGTGAGATTGACTCCAGAGTCCAAGTTCCTCCCACTACGCCAAGTGCAGTCTGCGCTAACAGAGGGAATGACGGGCATTCAGAACCAGAACCCTATGGGCTTTCCACCACCGTCCTTCACATTTGCCTACTTTCCTCCCTCCCTTCAACAAACGTGCTGTGTCAAGCAGCTGAAGAGTAGTAGAGAAAGCAGACAGGGCTCCTGACCAGCTGATTAGTCACTCTCTGGACTAAGCCCCTTGTGGGTCCTTTTCCTAGGGCCATCTCTGTATCCCAGAGCCTGCAGGAGACACGCACCCATGGCAGCTGACTAGGAGAGAAGAGAGCCTGCTTTACACTTGCATCTAGAGATCAGAGCTCACCCTACAAAGACATGAGGTGTGACATTCAGAGTTGAGGGAAAGGGCATCTCAGGCAGGGAAAACAACAAAGCAGATCCGTGGAATCAGAAAAGCAAGGAGCACAAATGGACTTCCCTCACAGTCCAGTGGTTAAAAATCTGCCTGCCAACACAGCGGGGCATGGGTTCAATCCCTGGTCTGGGAAGATTCCACAGGTCGCAGAACAACTAAGCCCGTGCGTGCGCGACAGCCTGGAACTGCAACAGCGGAACCCACGAGCCACAACCCCTGAAGCCCACGTGCCCTAGAACCTGCGCCCTGCAACAAGAGAAGCCACCGCAACTAGAGAAAGCCCATGAGCTGCAACAAAGACCCAGCACGGCCATAAATAAACAAACAGAAGGGAGCGTTTTAAAAGGAACAAAAGGAAGAGAGATGCACAAAAGGGCACAGTGAGTGGCTTGGTCTGGGTCAAGCACTGGTGCTTAAGGATGAGAAAGATGCTCAAAGAGGAAGGTCGGGGGCAGATGTAGAGGACCCAGGACCCAGTAACCTCAAGTACTTGTAAACTTATCACAAGAAAATCATTCAAAATCTATACATACTCAAACTGACCTACAGATTCAACGCCATTCCTTATCAAAATCCCAGATAGTTTCTTTGCAGAAATTGACTAATTTTAGAATTGGTGTGGAAGTTTGAGGGACCCAGAATAGCCAAAATAGCTTGAAAAAGAAGAACAAAGGTGGAGGATTCTTGGTTTCAAAACCTGCTACAAAACTCCAATAATCAAGACTGTGGTTTGGCCTAAGACCTACAGATCACAGGAAGAGAACTCGGAGTCTAGAAACAAACCTTCACATTTACAGTCAACTGATATTCAGCAAGGATACTAAGACATTCAGTGAGGGAAAGGATAGTCTTCTCAACAAATGATTCTGGAAAAACGAATAAATCTGTTGTATATCAACTATACTTCAACAAAAATATATTTTTTAAAAGAATAAATCTGAACTTCTATCTTGAACTATTCACAAGCATTTGAACGCCTATCTTGAACAATTCACAAGCATTAACTCAAAATGGATCAAAGACCTAAGTGAAGGAGATAAAACTATAAAACTCTTAGAAGAAAACATTGGCATAAATCTTGGTGACCTTGGATCTGCAATGGTTTCTTAGGCATGACTCCAAAAGCATGAACAACAACAACAAAATAATACATAAATGGAACGTCATCAAAATAAAAAACTTTTCTGTTTCAAAGGACAGTATTAAGAAAATGAAATGAATGTATGTCAACTATACCTTAATTTAAAAAAAGAAAATGAAATGAAAACCCACAGAATGGAAGAAATTTCTTTCAAATCATGTAACTGATAAAGGACTTACATCTAGAATATATAAAAACATTCTTATTACTCAGTCATAAAAAAGACCAATTTTAAACAGGCAAAGAATTAGAATAGCCATTTCTCTAGAGAAAATATACAAATGGATAATAAGTATATGAAAAAGTGTTTACCATCACTAGCCACAGGGAAACAAACCAAAACCACAATGAGACCACTGCATCCCCACTAAGATGGTTAGAATCAAAAAGAAAGACAGTAACAAGTGTTGGTGAAGATGAGGAGAAACTAGAACCTTCAAACCCTGCTGGTTGGAATGCAAAAGGGTATATAGCTCCTTTGGAGAACAGTTTGGCAGTTCCTTAAAAAGTTAAATATAGAGTTACCATATGACCTAGCAATTCCATACCTAGATGTATGCCGAACAGCAGTGAAAACATACGCCCACACAAAAGCTTGTGCATCCAGTGTTCAGGGCAATAATCCAAAATGAAACAACCCAAATATCCATCAACTGAATGGATATGCAAAATGCTATATCCATATAATGGAGTATTACTTGGCAATAAAAAGGAATGGAGTGCTGACATGCTACAACACGAACCTATCTTGAAAACATTATACTAAGTGAAGGAAGCCAGACACAAAAGACTACAGATAATGTGATTTCACTTACATGAAACGTCTAGAATAGGTAAATCTATACGGCAAGTAGATTAGTGGTTGCCTATGGCTGGTAGAGGGTAGAAAGGTGAGGACTAGGGAGAAAAAGAGTGATTACTAGTGGGTATGCAGTTTCTTTGGGGGTAATGAAGTGTTCTAAAACTGATTGTGTTGATGGTTGCACAAATGTGAATATACTAAAAACCACTGAGTTGCAACTTTAAATGGGTCAATTGTATGGTATGTGAATTATACCTCAATAAAGCTGTTATCCCCAAACTCAAATATATCAATATATAAAACTCAAATATATAAATATATATATATATAATATATATATATTATATATAAAGCAGAATTCACCCTGCGTTTTCAGGGTGGCACTGTGGTTAAAAGCGTGGAGAGTCATGCTTCTGTGTGTAACCCAGTTACTTCCCTACTTCTAGATGTGTTTCTGTTGTTGTTGTTCGGTCACCCAGTTGTGTCCAACTCTTTGTGACCCTATGGACTGCAGCACTCCTGGCCTCCCTGTCCCTCACCATCTCCTGGAGTTTGCCCAAGTTCACGTTCATTGCATTGGTGATGCTGTCCAACCATCTCATCCTCTGATGCCACTTCTCCTTCTGTCCCAGGAGTCTTCTCCAGGATCACAGTTCAAAGGCATCAATTCTTCAGCATTTTGCCTTCTTTACGGTCCAGTTCTCACAACCATCTGTGAGCAATGGGAAGACCACAGCCTTGACTATATGGACCTTTGCTGGCACAGTAATGTCTGTGCTTTTCAACACACGGTCTAGGTTTGTCATTGATTTCCTGCTAAGAAGCAATTGTTTTCTGATTTTATGGCTGCAGTCACCATCCGCAATGATTTTGGATCCCAAGAAGAAGAAATCTGTCACTATTTCCACCTTTTCCCCTTGTATTTGCCATGTAGCAATTGGGCTAGATGTTCACGATCTTAGGTTTTTTGTTTTTTGTTTTTTTTTTAATATTTAGTCTTAAGCCAGCTCTTTCACCCTCCTCCTTCACCCTCATCGAGAGGCTCATTAGTTCCTCTTCACTTTCTGCCATTACAGTAGAATCATCCACATATCTGAGGTTGTTGATTTTTCTTCTGCCTATCTTGATTCTAGCTTGTAACTCTTCCAGCCTGGCATTTCTCATGATGTGCTCAGTGTATAGGTTAAACAAACAGGGTGACGGCAGACAGCTCTGTTGTACTCCTTTCTCGACTTTAAGCTAATCAGTTGTTCCATACAGATTTCTAACTGTTGTTTCTTGACCTGCATATAGGTTTCCCCAGAGACAGGTAAGATGGGCTGGTATTCCCATCTCTCTAAGAGCTTTCTACAGTTTGTCACGATCCACACAGTCAAAGGCTTTAGTGTAGCTGATGAAACAGAGATAGGTGTTTTTCTCAAATTCTCTTGCTTTCTCTATAATCCAGAGAATGCTGGCAATTTGATCTCTAGTTCCTCTTCTTTCTCTAAACCCAGCTTGGACATCTGAAAGTTCTTGGTTTGCATAATGCTGAAGCCGAGCATGCAAGATTTTAAGCATGACCTTGCTAGCATGGTAGATGAGTGCAATGGTTAGCACATTTCTTTGGTACTACCCTTCTTGGGAATTGGGATGAGGACTGACCTTTTCCAGTCCTGTGGCCACTGCTGGGTCTTCCAGATTTGCTGACATAATGAATGCAAAATCTTGATGGCATCATCCTTTAGGGATTTGAAGAGTTCTGCTGGAATTTCATTGCATCTACTAGCTTTATTAACAGCAGTGCTTCTTTTTTTTTCTTTTCATTTACTTTTTATTAGTTGGAGGCTAATTACTTCACAACATTTCAGTGGGTTTTGTCATACATTGACATGAATCAGCCATGGAGTTACATGTATTCCCCATCCCGATCCCCCCTCCCACCTCCCTCTCCACCCGATTCCTCTGGGTCTTCCCAGTGCACCAGGCCCGAGCACTTGTCTCATGCATCCCACCTGGGCTGGTGATCTGTTTCACTATAGATAATATACATGCTGT